GCCGACATGGGTGTGGGTGACTCTTGCGGGTGGTGGCACTGGCGCGTTCCGCGCGCCAGGGAGCGGGGTCAACGCCGATCCGAGAAGTCCGCGCGGACCTCCGATTTTTTTGATATTATTGTTTGTTTCCCTAGAATCGGCCACTCGCTGAGGGGGGTATGGTGGGGGGGGGGGCTTCTCAGAAGCACCCCTGCTTCGTAGAGGGCGCGGGCCTTGTCTGTAGATGTTGGGCTGGCGCCTCCTAAGAAGCAACCTCCTTCTAAGAAGCCTCTGCGCGCCGCCAAGGGAAGCGGGGGAGGGGAGAGGAGGCTGGAGGGAGGGGAGGGGGGGGGGGAGCAGCCAGGAGCGAGGAGCGAGGAGGGCGCAGAGGAAGGCACGGGGGGGTGGTGCAGGCGAGGGCAGGGGCACGAGGGGGGAGCGGGGTAATGGGCAGGGGGACAGGCCGGGGAGAAGCGGCAGGGCAGGGCATTCCCAGTCTGGAGTTCATGATCCCCCGCGACGCTCCGTTGGGCCCTCTGCCCCCCCCCCCCCTTCCTCGCCGCGGCTCGGCGCAGCCCCGGGAGGCTGTCCGGCAGGGGACTGCAACAGGTGGCGCTCGCGCAAGTTGACCGGGTTCGTTGGAATTCGTTTCGCAGATATCTTCGTAGGAGCCTCGTTTGAATCAGATTCCGACCCTCCTTCCCTCCAAACTCCGCCGCAGGCGCCCGGAAGACTGATAATTTCAAATTGCGGCCGTACCCCCAAATGGGAGGCATACCCCCTTGAGTTGCCCAGGACCTCCCAGGAATTTCAGGGGTCCTGAAGGATTATGTTGGTTTCTGGAGGATTCCTCCAACCCTCCATCCTGGAGGATTCCTTCCTGGACGCTCTCTCGGAACCGTTTCGGACCGTCTTGGAAGCCTCTTGGGCCGTTTGCTTCGAGGCCATCTTAGGTCGTCTGGCATTTTGGGCCGTCTTGAATTGGTGCTGGGCATGGTGGCCCTCTTGGCCTGCTTGGGCCATGTTGGCCGCCATCTTGGACTCCTCCTCCTCATTCTCCTCCTCATTCTCCTCCTCCTCCTCCTCCTCCTCCTCCTCCCACCTCCTCCCACCTTCCCTCTTCCCCCCCCCCCGCGCCTCCCCATACCTCCCCCTGCCTACTCCCAATTCCCCCAGCTTCCTCTCACCTCCCACCTCCCAGTTCCTCCCAGTTGTGTGCCCCATGCCAACATTTGGACAGTTCGTCGTCGTCGTCGTCGTCGTCGTCGTCGTCGTCGTCGTCGTCGTCGTCGTCGTCGTCTGTCGTCACTCGTCAGTCATCAGTCGTCAATTGTAAGTCGTCGTCCTCGTCGTCGTCGTCGTCGTCGTCGTCGTCGTCGTCGTCGTCGTTGTTGCTACGACCAGGCGTGGCGACCAGAATGTGAGTGAAACACGTTTTTTTTGTTTGTTCACGCGGTTTTCGGGGTGACGGTGACGCGTGTCGCTCGTTTTTTGTGTTTTTTGTGTTTGTTTTGTTTTTCGTTCTCTGGCCCCATGTGTTCAGAATGCGACTGACAGATTTTTTCTCACGCGGTTTTCGGGGTGACGCGTGTCACCCGCGTGTTGTTTCGCACTGTATGGCCCCATGGTGGCGACCAGAATGCGAGTGGGACATTTTTCTCACGCGGTTTTCGGCGTGACGCGTGCCACCCGTGTGTTATTTCGCAGTGTGTGGCTCTATGTTGGCGTCCAGACTGCGAGTTAAAGAGCTGTTTTTTTCTCGCGCTGTTGTCGGGGTGACGCGTGTCACCCGCGTGTTATTTCGCACTGTATGGCCCCATGTTGGCGACCAGAATTCGAGTGGGACAAATCGTTTTTCTCGCACGGTTTTCGGGGCGACACGTGTTACCCGTGTGTTGTTTCACACTGTATTTCGCCATGTTGGCGACCAGGGTACGGGTGAGACAACTGCTTTTTCGCGCGCGGTTTTCGGGGTGACGCGTGTCACCCGTGTGTTGTTTTACATTGTATGGTCCTATGTCGGCGACAGGGGTACGCGTGAAACCATTTTTCACACGGTTTTCGGGGTGACACGTGTCACCCGTGTGTTATTTCGCATTGCATGGTCCCATGTTGGCGTCCAGAATAACAGTGGGACAATTGTTGTTTCTACGCGGTTTTCGGGGTGGCACGTGTCACCCGCGTGTTGTTCCACTCTGTAGGAACCCATCTTGTCGACCAGACTACGCATGAGACAATTTGTTTCTCTCACACGGTTTTCGTGGTGACGCGTGTCACCCGCTTGTTGTTTCACACTGTATGGCCCTTTGCTGGCGTCCAGAATACGAGTGAAATAGTTGTTTTGTTCTCACACGGTTTTCGGGATGACGCGTGTCACCCGCGTGTTGTGTTACATTGTATGGCCCCATGGTGGCGACCAGAATGCGAGTGAGACATTTTTTCTCGCGCGGTTTTCGGGGGGAAACGCTTCACCCGTGTGTTATTTCGCACTGTATGGCCTTATGCTGGAGTCCAAAATACGATTGAAACATTTTTTCACACGGTTTTGAGGGTGACGCGTGTCACCCGCGTGTTGTTTCACTTTGTATGGCCCTTTTCTGGCGTCCAGAATACGAGTGAAATATTTGCTTTTTCTCACACGGTTTTCGGGGTGTCACGTGTCACCCGTGTGTTGTTTCACATTGTATGGCCCTATGGAGGCGTCCACACTTCGAGTGAAAGGGTTGTTTTTTACACGGTTTTCGGGGTGACACGTGTCTCCCGCGTGTTGTTTCACATAGGATGGCCCCATGTAGGCGACTAGAATGCGAGTGAAACGTTTGCTGTTTCTCACACGGTTTTGAGGGTGACGCGTGTCACCCGCGTGTTGTTTCACATCGTATGGCATTTTGCTGGCGTCCAGAATGCGAGTGGCATATTTGCTTATTCTTACACGGTTTTCGGGGTGACACGTGTCACCCGTGTGTTGTTTCACATTGTATGGCATTTTGCTGGCGTCCAGAATGCGAGTGACATATTTGCTTTTTCTTACACGGTTTTCGGGGTGACACGTGTCACCCGTGTGTTGTTTCGCATTGCATGGCCCTATGGTGGCGTCCACACTTCGAGTGAAAGGGTTGTTTTTTTTTACACGGTTTTCGGGGTGACACGTGTCTCCCGCGTGTTGTTTCATATCGGATGGCCCCATGTTGGCGACTAGACTACGAGTGAAACGTTTGTTGTTTCTCACACGGTTCTGAGGGTGACGCGTGTCACCCGCGTGTTGTTTCACATTGTATGGCATTTTGCTGGTGTCCAGAATATGAGTGAAATATTTGCTTCTTCTCACACGATTTTCGGGGTGACACGTGCCACCCGCGTCTTGTTCCACAGCGCGACTGCGAAAGGCGCGCATCTTCAAACAGTTTGGTCTGACCGAGTTCGCGGGTATACTGAGGCGATTATTCGACGCAGGTGTCAGCTTCATGAAGTCCACCGAGCAGGTGCCTGATTCGATTTACGGGACAAATCCAATGCACCCGCGCGCAGGTCATGATGCAAATCTTTGTTTCTACAACTCAGACGATGATGGACGTGCAGACGTCAACGTCGCCGAAGAACTGCTCGCACAGTTTCACATCGCGCTATCGAACTTCTGGGCAGAACAGAAGCTGCTTGCTCGCCCCTGCCAGGAACACCTCAAGGGCCCCAAGTGGGGGAACTCGAACTGGTTCACCAGGCTTGCGCCGCATTCGCCTGTCCAATGGCGGTGTTCCCCGATCGGGGCCGACCCGCCCGACCCGACCCGACCCGCTCGTGAGGGTCCGCCCGTCCGACCCGTCCCGCCCGTTAAGGTTCGCGCGTGCCGGGTCGAGCGAGCCATGTCCCGCCCGGCCCGACCCGCCCGTTAGGGCCCGCCCGCCGGACCCGACCCGGCGCCTGCCATGGTTCGCGCGTGCTCGGTTGAGCGCGCCCCGCACTTTCATGTCCCGCCCGCCCGATCCGACCCGCCCGTGAGGGTCCGCCCGCCCGACCCAACCCGACCCGCCCGCTAGGGTCCGCCCGCCCGACACGCCCCGCCCGTTATGGTTCGCGCGTGCTCCGTCGAGCGCGCCCTACCCTTTCAAGTCCAGTCCGAGCCGACCCGACCCGCCCGTGAAGTTTTGCCCGCCCGACCCGACCCGACCCGCCCGCTAGGGTCTGCCCGCTCGACCCGACCCGCCTGTTTGGGTGCGCGCGTGCTCGGCCGAGCGCGCCCCACACTTCAATGTCCCGCCCGCCCGACCCGACCCGCCCGTTGATGTCCGCCCGCCCGACCCGCCCGCTAGGTCCGCCCGCCCGACGAGTCGGGTCCGACGCCCGACGCCCGACGCCCGCCACCCGACGACGACGACGACGACGACGACGACGACGACGACGACGACGACGACGACGACGACGACGACGACGACGACGACGACGACGACGACGACGACGACGACGACGACGACGACGACGACGACGACGACGACGACGACGACGACGACGACGACGACGACGACGACGACGACGACGACGACGACGACGACGACGACGACGACGACGACGACGACGACGACGACGACGACGACGACGACGACGACGACGACGGCGGTGGCGGCGGCGGCGGCGGCGGCGGCAGCGGCAACTGCGACGACGGCGTCGGCAAAACCAACGCCTGCGAAACCAGTGCCGGCGAAAACAGCCGCTGGCGAGACCAGCGGGGCGAAACCAGCGGGGCGAAACCAGCGCGGGCGAAACCACCGCCAGCGAAACCACCCGCCGGCGAAACCAACGGGGCGAAACCATCGCCGGCGAAACCAGCTCATCCTCACGCCTTCTACCTACTTTTCCCGACCGATGGGTCTGTGTATGGCGTCTTTTCTTCTTTTGTTCCCATCGGTCGAGCCTTTTGGGTGGGGGAGGTGCCGGGGGTTGGGGGAGGGAAGCGGAGGAGTGGAGGGAGAGGGTGAGGCTCCAGCGTGCCAGGGTGGGGCCGCTGATTTGCTCCAGTTGTCCCTCAGGACCGCGGGCGCCGCCGACCACGGAGAGGACGGGCAGCTCAGGACGGAGGGCGTCACCTGTGCGCCTGCGCCTATGCCTCCTCCTCCTCCTTCTCCTCCTCCTCCTCCTCTTTCTCCTCCTATTCTTCCTCCTCCGCCCTCCTCTTCCTCCCTCCTCCTCCTCCTCCTCCTCCTCCTCCTTTTCCTCCTCCTATTCCTCCTCCTCTTCCTCCTCCTCCTCCCTCCTCCTCCTCCTCCCCCTCCTCCTCTCCTCCTCCTCCTCCTCATCCTCCTCCTCCTCCTCCTCCTCCTCCTCCTCCTCCTCCTCCTCCTCCTCCTCCCTCTCCTCCTCCTCTCCTCCTCCTCCTCCTCCTCCCCTCCTCCCTCCTCCCTCCTCCTCCTCCTCCTCCTCCTCCCTCCTCCTCCTCCTCCTCCCTTCGGAGTGTCGGCTTCGGGCCTCGACGCCCCGCGGGTGGGCCCCGCCCGCCTCGGGGACCCGGGGGCCTGCGCGAGAGGTCTGGGGGAGGAAGGCCCAGTCGTGCTGGCCATATTTCGGGGTCGTGTCCCGCCCGACAGGCGGGGTCGAAGTATCCATGGAGCGCAAGGCGGTTCTGGAGGACCGTGGCAGGGAGGGATGGAGGGCGTCCAGGTGGGGGGTGGAGGCCAGGAAGGGGGGGGGGGATACCATGGTTGGGGCCATGAGATCTCCCCAGATTGCATGGCCCCCTCTTCTTCTTCTTCTCCTCCTCCTCCTTCTCCTTCTTCTCCTTCTTCTTCTTCTTCTTCTCCTCCTCTTTTCTCTTCTTCATTTTCTTTTTCATTTTCTTCTTCCTTCCTCTTCTTCTTCTTCTTCTTCTTCTTCTTCTTCTTCTTCTTTCAGCACGTCCCCTGGCCCCCCCTGGGGCCGCGCACGTGCCTCGGGCCACGACTTGCACACTCCTCTGACAAGACCCGAAGAAAGCAAAAACGCCATAAACATAAACTTTCGGCGCTCCGCGCGGATTTCTTGGATCTGCGCTGTGCCCCCCCCCCCCCCGGCGGCGCCTCTGGCGCCCCCCCCTGGCGCGCTCCGCGCGCCGGGGAGGGGGGTCCAGCGCGGATCCAGGAAATCCGCGCGGAGTGCGAGAGGTTTATCTTTATGGCGTTTTCTTCTGCTGCTTCTTCTTTTTCATCTTCTTCTTCTTCTTCATCTTCTTCTTCATCTTCTTCTTCTTCCTCTTCTTCTTCTTCTTCTTCTTCATCTTCTTCTTCATCTTCTTCTTCTTCCTCTTCTTCTTCTTCTTCTTCTTCTTCTTCTTCTTCTTCTTCTTCTTCTTCTTCTTCTTCTTCTTCTTCTTCTTCTTCTTCTTCTTCTTCTTCTTCTTCTTCTTCTTCTTCTTCATCATCATCATCATCATCATCATCATCTTCTTCTAATAGAAGGACGTGCGCAGCACTTCCTGCGCTTGGGGTTATCTCTCGGGGCCAGCAGGAGCCTCGGCTGCCCGTCGGACCCTCGGGTCCCGGTCCCCGCGAGTCCCCTCGAGCCGTGTGGGGTCCGGGGCGGCCCGCGCGCCAGCAGCAGGGGAGGCCCCGCGCGGGGGGAGGGCTCGCAGGGAATGACATGTGAGGCAGGCATTTGTTCTCGGCATCGCTCGGACGTGTGCATTTTTTCTTCGGCGAGGACCATCGAGGAGCATCCTCGACCATTTGGCGAAAAAACCACGCACGAAACCGAAAAAAACACAGGGAATGGACGTCCGAGCGATGGCGCGTTGTTTCGTTGCTGCGATGAGGGTTCTTGTTTTGCCGTCAGCGGCTGCCAAGCTGCCTACATACACCCTGGGTGGCGGGCGGCTCCATCCCGGGGGAAAAAAAGGAGGACACCAGCTCAGAGCACAGGAGCAGCGGCTAGTCTGAACCATGGTTCGCAGCAGGCGCAATCGCATGCGCCTGAAGCGCATACATCGGGCAAACCGTGTCCATATCGGAGGCGGAGGAGGCGGCGGAGGAGAAGGAGGAGGAGGAGGAGGAGGAGGAGGAGGAGCAGGAGCAGGAGGCGGAGGCGGAGGCGGAGGCGGAGGCGGAGGCGGAGGCGGAGGCGGAGGCGGAGGCGGAGGCGGAGGCGGAGGCGGAGGAGGAGGAGGAGGAGGAGGAGGATGATGATGATGAGGAGGAGGAGGAGGAGGAGGAGGAGGAGGAGGAGGAGAAGGAGGAGGAGGAGGAGGAGGAGGAGGAGGAGCAGGGGCGGGTATGCGGGGTCGGCCTGGCCTCGGGGCAGGCGCGTGGCGCGGGCCGCCTCTCCCCCCATGTCAGGGGCATCGTGGGCCACGCCCGCGAGATCCGGCGCATGGTGGACGCCGCTCTGGCCGGGGCGCCGCCCTCGCAGGATCGGCGGCGAGCGAGGGGGGGAATTCGAGAAGGATCGTCGTCGTCGTCGTCGTCGTCGTCGTCGTCGTCGTCGTCGTCGTCGTCGTCGTCCGTCGCTCGTCGCTCGTCGCTCGTCGCTCATCGTCGTCGTGCGCGCGGGCGCGGCTGTGGCGCCGGAGCCACGCGGCGGCAGAGGCGTTACGTTACACCCCCCCCGGCACCCCCCTATGGTTTTGTTATCGCCGAACATGGCCTTCTCAGAAGGCTCCGAAGTCCCCCGGCCTTCCGAGAAGTTTGCAGAGGCCTCCCCGGAGACACAGAACCTTCTCTCGGGGAAGGCGCGAGGGCTCCTCTGAGAAGTTCCGCCGCCTTCCGGGAGGGCCTCCTCCTCCTCGCCTCCCCTCCCTTGACGAACGAACAACACGCACCCATACCCATAGGGAGGTCGTTGGGAGGAGGACTTGGCTATGGGCATGGGTGCGGGTTGTCGGGCCCTCGGGAACGCTCCCGTTCGAGCGGGGACCCCCATCCGACAACACGCACCCATAGCCCGCTCCGATCCCCCCCTATGGGTGTGGGTGTGTGCTGTTGGTGCGTCCTCCCTCGCTCGCCGCCGACAGGAGAAGCCGATCCCGCGGCCGAGCAGGAGCTCCGAGGGCAGGCCGAGGGAGAGCGGCTGCGACGTCCTCGCCATCCTCCGCGGCGCGCGCAGGCCCTCGAGGGCGCCAAAGGGGGGGAGGAGGAGGAGGGGGAGGAGGAGGAGGGAGGAGGAGGAGGAGGAGGAGGAGGAGGAGGAGGAGGAGAGAGGAGGAGGAGGAGGGAGGAGGAGGATGAGGAGGAGGAGGAGGAGGAGGAGGAGGAGGAGGAGGAGGAGGAGGAGGAGTGAGGAGGAGGAGAGATGAAGGAGGAGGGGGAGGAGGAGGAGGAGGAGGAGGACCACTCCCGGAGGTCCGGGCGCCGCCCGCGCTTTGCCTCGCGCCGCGCGCGCGCGCCGTTCGCCGGGCTCCTCGGGCCCCCCCGGGGGCCCTCGCAGATCGATGCGGCCCCCAGGGTCCTCGGACGGGGCCAGGATTCAGTCGGGCATGCCCCTCTCCAGGAGGAATGTTCAAGAATAGCAACAAACATATATGATTGGCGTTTTTTTTGTTTTTTTTGTTTTTTGTTTTGTTGACAATTTCTGATGATGTTTAATCTTTCATCGAAAAGCCGCCTGTAGGAAGACATGCCCGACCTCAGGGTAGGACGAGGATAAGTCATAGCGTTCCAGAACGCTCTCAGAGCGTTCCCGAACGCTTTCAGAGCGTTCCGGAACGCTCTGAGAAGGCCGTGGCGCCCGAGACATGCTCCAGAGCCGCCGGATCTCAGAGATTCTCGAATTATCCGTGCTCGATTTTATATCCTCGTCCTGGCTTCGTCTTAGGTCCAGCACTCCAGTCGTGATTTTTACTGCGAGGGTGCGACGTGTCCGCAGCGTCGGGGTCAGGGAAGGACCACGCCCCCCGTACTCGATGATTTTTCATCCTCGTCCTGGCTTCGTCTTAGGTCCAGCACTCCAGTCGTGATTTTTATTGCGAGGCTGAGACGTGTCCGCGGCGTCGGGACTCAGGGAAAGACCGCGCCCTTACGCCACCGCTCTCCGCGGGGCGCCGCCGGAGCCAGAAGAAAAGACTTGCTCGCGCCGTGGCAGAGATCCCGGCGGGAGGTTTTTTGGGGGCGCTCCAGCGGCCTTCGGGGCACTTTTGCAGGACCCCAGGGCCGCCCGGAAAACGGCTCGGGATTCAGTCCCGCTTGCTTTCCTGTCCTGTGCTTGAGTCGGGCATGTCCCTCTACAGGAGGACAATACAAACATAGTCAAAGAACAGTCTGGGAACGATTTTTCATCCTTTTTGACAATTTCCGATTGTCTTCGTCTTCTCTAAGAAGAATCCGTCTGCAGGAGGACATGCCCGACCTAATCCTATTCTTAGCGTGCAGTTGGGAATGCGACTATACACGCCAGGTGCTCCGCACGTGGCGTGTACGTATCCTGTGTGGCTGGTTCTCAGCGTGCGTCGGAGGGCTGCTTCACCCGACTCTACTTGTAAGCGTGTACGCCTCTGCGCTGCTCGGCGTGTCGGCGGCTTCGTCTTCTCGCGGCGCCCGAGGCCACCTTACGCGCTAAGACTAGAACCTTGGCCGTAACCGACCCCCGTTAGGGGTAAGTCGGGCGTGTCCCTCTACAGTGAGGACAATTTTTACATAGTTTTTTGACTTTATCTGAGATTTTTGCGTGATTTTTTATAGTTCCTCCCAAATCCGCCTGTAGGGAGACATGCCCGACCTAATGTTAGGGGAACGAACAATGACATAAGCATAAAAACTCGGAGGTCCGCGCGGATTTCTCGGATCGGCGTTGGAGACCCCTGGCGGCGCCTCCAGCGCCGCCCCTGGCGCACTCCGCGCGCCAAGGTGGGGGGGGTCAACGCCGATCCGAGAAATCCGCGCGGACCTCCGAGTTTTTAGGTTCTGTCATTGTTCGTTCAACCAATCGTAAAAACAATAACATCCCTGTCCCCATCCCTATCCCATCCCCAGTCCAGACCCCACATCCTCCCACCCCCCTCCAGCGCGGATCCAAGGAATCCGCGCGGACCTCCGAGTTTTTTATGTTTCTTGTCATTCTTCTTCGTTCCCCCTACTCTGGAGATCTCTCCCCATTCCCCATCCAGCTCCCCCCATCCCCCCCCTTCAGTTGACTGTATATAATATATATATATATATATATATATATATATATATTATATACACCCCCAAAAACCGAACACGGACACGAACCCGAACCGTGAGGGTGGCCTGGCATCCATCCATCCCCACTGGGGGGGAAGTGGCCGCATCTCCCCACCTGGGGGGGGGGGGGGGGGGGTCCACCGGGCAGTGGGGCCCAGGCCACGCCCGTGGGCATGGGTGTCGGTGGAACGAGGCTCAGCAGAGCTGGCCCCGGGGCAAGAGTCGCGACTTCCGGGGCCCCCGACTTGAAGAGGGGGAACGAACGACGGCATCGGATCGGCGCTGGGGCCCCCTGGCGGCGCCTCCGGCGCCGCCCCTGGCGCGCTCCGCGCTCCAGGGAGGGGGGTCCGGCGCGGATCCGAGACATCCGCGCGAGCCTCCGAGTTCTTCTGTTTGTGGCATGTTTCGTTCCCTCCAAAGAGTCGCGACTTCTGTGCCCCCCGATCTGAAAGAGTGAAGGCACGGGATGCCTGGGCACACAGCGCTCTTCCGAGGGGCGCCGCCAGAGCCGAAGGAGCGCCGCGGACGATCCCGGCATCGCCCCGCCCCGCCCCGCCCCCATGTCTCGGGACAGGCAGGCGTGCATCACGCCCGTCACCTCACCAGGATCCACGGGGGGGACGGGTCACAGCTGTAGTACGGCGTATTCGGCGACTGGTCACGCGAGCGTCCGACGGCCAGCGTCTGTGGAAACATGATCGACCCACGAACCCGGAAAGGAATGTAGAACTGTAACACATGGCAGCGTTTTCAAAGACACCTGATTGGGTGACGGGCAAATGCAATACTGAAGGTATCGATCTTGATGTACCCTGCCGAGGGCTGTGCTGTGCTGCGCCGTGCTGAATTGCGATGTGCCATGGCGCGACTGTGCTCTATAGCCTCGTGAATCAAGTCCTCCTTTGCATCCGAGTCCTGACCGAACTGATCTGGATCTTAAGCTCGAGCTGCCTGAACACATAGTAGCTGCCCCAGAACTAATCGACAAGGGGACATGCAGGAGGACGCGCCGCGAAACGTCCCAAGGGATGCGCCAGGCGACGTGCCAGGGGACGTGCCATGGGGTCGCACCGCGGGACGTGCCAAGGGGACGCGCTACGGAACGTGGCAATGGATGTGCCACGGGATGTGCCAGGGGACGCGCCACGCGACGTGCCAGGGGGACTCGCCAAAGGACGCCCCACGGAACGTGCCAAGGAATGTGCCAAGTTGCAATGCTGAGTGTATCGACCTTGATGTACCGTGCCGAAATCAGTGCTGTGCTGCGCCGTGCTGAATTGCGATGTGCCATGGCGCGATTGTGCTCTATAGCCTCGTGGATCGAGTCCTCCTTTGCATCCGAGTCCTGACCGAACTGATCTGGATCTTAAGCTCGAGCTGCCTGAACACATAGTAGCTGCCCCAGAGCTAAATGGACAGGGGAACATGCCAGGAGGACGCGACGCAGAACGTCCCAAGGGACGTGCCAAGCGACGTGCCAAGGGACGTGCCATGGGGACGCACCGCGGGACGTGCCAAGGGGACGCGCTACGGAACGTGCTGGGGACAAGCGTTTCGCTCGAGACATCCTGTCAAATTCATCTGAATTCCTACGCGCGGGACGCTGCACGCGCGAGACATCCTCGGAATTCCTGCGAGCGGGACGTGAAAACAAGCATTTCGCCTGGGACATCCTTTGAATTCTGGCCCCCCCACGAGGCCACCGCTCGAGACATCCTCCAATTTTGCAAAACCAGCGTTTTGCTCGAGACATCCTCAACAAATTATGAACAACAAGCGTTCGTCAATGTTCGCTCGAGACATCCCTGATCTGGTCAAAAAATCCCAAATAAATTCCAAATACCCAAAAATACCACGCAGCGCGGAAAAAACGGGGCCTCACACCGCCGCGAGGACATCCTTCTTTTCCTTGGATATCCTTCCTTTTTTCCCTTTCTCCTTTTCCTTTCCTGCGCTAGGGGCGCTTTTCCGTGTCGCGGTCGGCTCTGCAAAACCAGCGTGTCGCTCGAGACATCCTCAACAAATTCTGAAACCAAGCGTTTCGCTCGAGACATCCCCAACTCTGCAAAACCAGCGTCTCGCTCGAGACATCCTCAACAAATTCTGAAAAACAAGCGTTTCGCTCGAGACATCCTCAATTTTTAATTCGCCGGCCCTACGCGACCTCGTTATTTATCGCAAAAGAAATTCGCCGGCCCTACAGCCGTCAAAACCGGGGGGAAACCAACTATTAGAGAACCCTGGGCTCAGGCCCTTTCCGGGAAAATGTGTATTGGCACACATCTCGCAGTGGCGTCTGGAGTCACCTGCAGGTGCAGTCGCAGTGAGTGCTTCCGCCACGGAGCTGCAACATCTCATCCTTTGACAAGGGGGGCGGGCAACCCATGCATACCGTCAGGGCGCTGAAGAAGGAACCCTTTTCGTTGGGGAGGGGCTCGGTGTTCCTTGGTTGTCTTACAGTCTGCCTTGGGTGTTCCTCAGCTTTTCCATTGGAAATCGAAGGTTAACGTATGGGAAAAGGGGGCCTCGTTCCTTATTTAGGGTTCCTTAGGTCAAGGCCCCGACTGTACCCTTGATATTTTCAAAACGGCGCCCGGAAGATCCGACCCTTTCACCGGGGTCGTTTTGTCATCCCGACGGTGCCAGGCCCCGGCGAGGGCCCCCCCATGGAGATGGGCGCGGGGGTCGCCAAGGGGAAAGGGGGGCTATCAGTGTCATGCGATGGTGGGTTGTATCTGGCATAGCCTAGCTTATACGTGGGTTGCACATGCCCCATGTGTCTGAACCGCCTAAGCCACTCGGGGCATTTGCAACCCACCTGTAGGCATCCACCGTGGCCAGATATAACCCACCTGGCATCCACTGATAATCCCCCTGTCCCCTTAGCACCCCTTGCGCCGATCCCATCAGACGCCGAAAACGGACGAATTACTCCGACGGTAGGACCCCGCATGAGAATCT